ATTGTATTACTCACTGTACTGTTAGATTTCAAAAGGCTAGTTCATAAGCAGTAACAACATTTGTGGCAATCTGAGCTAAATTAATGAAAAAGATAATCAAATCTAATGCTACAGGATAAGATATCTGATATCTCTGGGGGTCATAAAGAGATCATACAGCTGATGGGAGGGAGGGAAGGAGGCGGTTGTATGTGTGGAAGAGGCAAGAGATGGCAGAAAAGTGAGGGTCACCTTGCTCAGAAATGTTGTGTGCTGGTCACTGACAGAGGCAGGAGGTTACATGCTAGATGTATCACAGAGATGAAGATGCTTATCAAGCTAACGATATTTTTAGAAATGCCAATACCCAATGATTGTGTAAGTTTCAGCTGATCCCAGATATTTGTCTCTGTTGATTGGAAAACTGGATTATATAGTTCATGTGTGTTTCTGCCTTGCCCATAGCAGACATGTACTGAGCTGGGGGCTGATCACAGGTGGCATTGGAATAGCCCTTTTTGTTGTTTTTCAGTAGAGCAGCTCCAATCTGAAACTCACTCCGTCTCTGAAGCTAATGTGATATTTTATTGCACCTGTAGACAATACCCAGTGGTGACTTGTTCCTGCTTCTAACCAGAAACACAGCAAGTTTTCTGTGTGCATACTTTCACCACCACATATTGGTATATCACTTGAGGGTTCCAACAGTGGCTTATGCACTGACTAGTAGAAGAAATAGTGCACATGTGCCTTGTGGGTGTGTAACTGTTAATGTTCAGCAAGAGACATGTGCGACAGTAACTGTAGTCGGCACCCAAAAATGTGTTTTCTCTCACAGACCTGTACTATATTTATTGCAATTACCTCCTTCATCCTACTCTGCTCTTTTATACATTCCCTGTTAGCAGTCGTCTTTTTCTACTACTGCTCTCCTTTACACAGATCTGCTTTTGACCAAAGCAAGAATTCTCATACCAAGTCCCAGCCACCTGAGGCCATCTAGTGCCATAGTCTGTGTCTGTACATGGCCAAGGGTAGATGATTAGGAAAAACGAGAAGGCTAAGGACTGCATGAAAGGGTCCCTCCTTCTATACATCTTCCCAAGTCTCAGAGACTCCCTAAATTAGGTGTTTTAGCTACCATACTGTGCATTTGATTTTAATCCAATCTGAATAGATGTATTGAATCCCTTTTTGAATGTCGAGACATTACTGGTTTCCTTTACCATCCAATAAGAAATCTCAAGATTTCTCCAATAAAGTACTGATAGAAAAATAGAAGTAGGAAAGACTGTGTGGGGTGATGGTTTTGATTCTGCCTAGATGCTCACAGTTTTTCCCTTCTACCTCTTGTGCATTTATGTAGCTCACATTCATTCTATACAGATAATATGTTAATTGATAATTTTTGCATTTGGAGGCTCTCATATCATTTACGTCTTTTGTGTAAGTCTTCTGTTAGACCCTGTATGCACGTAAGAACTCATCAAGAGACTTGCCCCAGCCTAGCCACGAGTCAATCTCATAACAATGCTGTAACACTCTTCCAAGCAGCATGAGAGGGCTGTGCTGAGGTCGTGGGAATGATGGGAAGAACCAGTGGGGAATATCCAAAGCAGAGGTGGAGCTGCATATCTTAGAGCTCATGGCTGGGTACTGAAAGGTGGCTTGCTTTCACACAGTGTATCTACAGTAGGATAGTAAAACAGGAGGAGTAGGAAGTTGGTCCCACAACCCTCAGCAGCAGTCACATGAGCTTAGTGTAGAGCTAATATACCGCATGGTACCATGTAGGCATGTTCTTGTAGCCTATAAATGAGATTCGTTTGTCATGCATTTTTACTTTGAGAAAAATAAAGGCCTCTATTTGATACTTGAGGGTGGGGTTTTTTCTTCATAACAACAACAACTAGCACATAATGGCAAATATTAAAGAAAGAAATTTTGGTCCAAAAATTTTTAGTATGATGATCTGTATCTTTTAAGAGTGTTCACATGGATTTCATGCAGTAATGCTTGAGTACTTTTGTGTTCTCAATAGCTGTATTTCTATCAAAATTTTCTGTCTTCTTTCCATGTCTGTCAGAAAAGCTTCATTAATTCCTAGGAGTAGGGTATTTGTAATGTTTCTCCTGACTTTTGTGAAATATAAAAAAGAAATCCAGCTGTTAGGCTTTAGGGTTAACAGTAGACCAGAAGAAATAATGGTAATAAATTTGCTTGAATGTGTCATGATAATAATAATTATTTCTATGAAGCTTGGATTGAAAACATCCAACAGAAAAACTGATTAAAATCTACCATACACAAAATTGACTGCTTCCACCCACTCCTTTCTACAGTTCCTCAGAGCATCACTGTGTTTATATTTTGAATATCTACGGTATGGAGTTATTGAAACTAAATCAGGTTTTAATAAAAGAAGGTATTGTGGGATTTCTGTGGGGCTGAGGTTCAAGCTAACAGCCTTGAATATATAAGACCAAATATAGATTTTTGCTTAATACCAAAGGGACTTTTATTTAGCTTGCTTTCTTTCTCCGTTCTACAAGAGAAAAATTAATATCTCATCACCTCTATAAAAGCCAAAGTTATTCCATGAGAGTGAGAGATTACAAAGTTCCCAGCACTGCAAATAGAGCAAGTTATTTCAAACAATAGCACTAAACCTTCTTATATTGCTTCTCTCATTCTTTCAGTACAGACCTGTCTCTCCACAGGATGGATTCTCAACTGCAAAGCACCTGGATCCTAATTTATGTGTATATTTATGTGAATATTCAAGGTTAACAAGAATATATTCCCTGTGGGAGAAATAGTCAGTGCCATTCAGACCACATCCCTGTTTTCCTTCCTTGCCATGGAGTAGGCTGTTGAAAATGTACTTGATGAAATTGCAGGTTCATATCCTACTCATATGAACAAATTTAATGTTTCTATTTGGGATTAGGTGAAGTATCTCTCCCCATGACTGGATGGCCAGCAGGCAAGACAAATGAGTTTAAATATCAGTTCTAAATGGAGAAGAGAGAGGATAAATTTATTTTTTTTTTTAACCCACATGATAATTGTTGTCCTTTCTAGTCCTGTACAGTGAGTGTATGGGGTTTGGGGCTTTTTTTACACTCAGCCCAAGATCAATGACCCAAGCAGGTGTTCCAGGTCATGATTTGACTGGAGAGTAGGGAAGAGATTCATGGCTTGGGTGTTCAAACAGGTTGACTTATTAGCTAGAAGTAGGTGCCTGTCTATTGCCAACTTTACTGGATTAGATTGGAAACCTAAGCACAGCTTTTGCATGTCCTCTTTATTTCATTCTGATGGATTTATGCAGGCATTGAGCTGGTTCTGGGGATACCCTTATAACACAGATCCCATACATTGCCTGGAAGGACCAGAACCTACAGGGACCTGGGGACTTGTGTGTTGGAGTAGGATGCACTGCAACAGCAGTGAAGTATTTATTCCATATCTGAGTTGGGCAGCTGAGTGTGAGTACAAATTGTGAGGCAGTTTCATTTTGCAGTTTCATTAATCTGTGCTTTCCACCACACAGACCCTTCCTTAAGGCAGCTAGCAGTATTTGCTGAAGCATGGGAAGGTAGGGAGCCTTTGGAGTGGCAGTGTCAAATGGGACCAGTAAGAGTGTGCTCAGTGCTTCAAAACTGAGAGCGTTGCGAGTGGCTAAGGTATGGACTGAGAATCTCTCAGGATGAAACCTGTGCATACCCTGATGACTTCTCTTTCCTCTGTGTGTCCTGGTTTCCAAATTAAGGAAACAGGAGGTGCCCTACGTAGGAACTTTAATGCTCCCCAGCATGTGCCAGCTGCAGTGTGTGTGATGTGCCAGGGCCATGGGACACACCATCTCCCACATATATGCTATAACTGCTCCCACTTATTTTTGGTGGGCTTATCCCAAAAGAAGATTAACTTGCCATGGACACCAGAAACCTCAGAGCTGGTCCTGTGCAGCATGAGAAAAGGCTTGGCAGGGCTGGTGCTTAGCCGGTGCTAAAAAGGAGTGATGGGTGCTGGTGACTGCGTGCAGTCAGTACACCCGTGCCCTGCTTTCCAGCACACCCCTTGGCACCCACTGCCACCTGGCATTTCATTATCCACTATGTCCCACCAGTCCCAGATAAAGACATCAGTTCAGTGCTGCTGTGCTGACTCAGTTCCCGAGCAGCTGGCTGAGGTAAAAAATGGGTTAAGCATTTAGACGTTGACCATTCTTGGATTAGACCAGGATTCTAAGACTTTTTAATCTTTAATAAAATAGCTGTATCACAGTTTAAAAATTTACTGCAGCATAGATATTCAGCCCTCAAATATTTCTTACTCTGATTCCCTGAATTCTTCTTTTTTCTTCCCCCAGAACATCCAGAATGAATACAGGGTTTTATGACTCATCTCATTTATGCTTCATATGGAGGTAATGTTGCCACTTATCTGTTTTATTGACCTATTTACATAGCCAAGGGTGGCACTGCAAGCTGATATTCAATTGGTGATATTCTGATTTCTTGGGATATGTGCAATATGACTAATTTTGAGTTAAACATTGAAGAGATACCGTCAGTTTGTAAAAGTCACATTCCTACTTGGCTCTTTCTCATAATCATTGTTACAAGCAAGATAACTGGGATCACCATAACAATAAAAATAAGGGGGGGAGAAGGGTTTTGCCTTAACTTGGGGTTTTGGAATATCTTTTTTTTTTTTCTCTTATTTTGCATTGGACAGCATTTATATGTCTGTATATGGTCAGTACATCTGTTTGCTCTTAATAAGCAGTTTCTTCCCCCAGAATATATAAACCTGGGTTTGCTAAACAGCAGGAAAACATCACAGATGAGATTGTGGGGGTGGTGGCTGAAAAGTAGAAGCGGGATAGGGCCGAGGACTGAACCTTAGGTCCACCCCTTTCTGCTTACTGCCGTTCTGCTCTTCTGTTTTCATCCTCTCCTTTTCAAGAGAAACTACTGAACTTGGGAGGAAGGCTCCACGTTTCCATAATCATGGCACTCTTTTCTTCCCTAACCCCAGTCTTCATAGCCATTATATGTGTTTTGATTGGGGTAATACTGAAGAAGACTAACGAAGGAAAGGACAAACGTGAGACTAAAAGCAAGCCTCTATCTCGCCCATGGGTGGATGAAGATTTAAAAGATGGCACTGACCACAACTTAGAGGAAGAAGGTAAGAAAAATCATATTTATCTGAGCATTTTTGTTACTTGAATTTTATCTGCTGATACAAACAAAGGAGATGCAAGCTTCTGGACTTCTCCATAGTGATAGCAATACATAGTCCTTCACTGCTGCTGTGCCCTGAGCTTGTCAGGTCCCTGGAACCTGACCTCATATCATGTCACTCTGAATGTAAATCTCTATTTCCTCCAGATCCCACAGGTCAGTCTGCAAAAACAAAATGGATTTTCAAAAAGACCCCTGTCTGTCCCTCTGTACAGCAGATCTCAGACCCATGAGGGACTGTATGGGCAATGCAGGGAAAGAAAGGAGAGACTGCTGAAGTCTCCCCAGCCTCTTGCCAGGCCTCATTAGTGTGAACAAAGGGAAGACCTGAGCAGAGCATCTGCAAGATGGTTTCATAGACATATCCTACTTTACCATTCAGTGCTACATATTTGGTCTCAGCACCCGCAGAAAAGTTAGAAATGGGTTTATTACAGTTACTGCAGAAGTCCTCCATTTGTGACTTCTGAGAATGTCCATAAGAGCTTTAGCTGGATTAACATTGGGGTCATTTGGGAGCTATGCTGATCAAATGTTTAAGAACAAAATGTGATGATGGTGCTAATCTGTTCCCTCAGCTGCATATTTGAATCTCTACAGAACACCTTTTTTTTTTTTTTTTTTTAGTAGTGATTTCTGATGCATAGCTTGGACAAAAGTCTGAGCCCAAAATGTGCCCATCCTTCTTTTTGCTTTCTGACTATTATCCATAACCTCCCTTTATTTCCTTGTGAAATAAAAATCTGCAGAGTTCTGTTCCTATGAAGTTTTTAAACTGCAGTTAATAAAGCTTTTTTTTCTCACGTTGATTTCAAAGGCTCTTTGTGTGGCTTTTGTCCCATAATGACACATTTCCTGAGTCTGCTTCTAGGAATCTTGAAACTTAGATTGTTTTTCTGCACATATGCCTATTTCTATGAACCATTATTTCTTTTTATTTTTCAGTGTTCAGAGTACTTTGAGTTAGTGTTGTGTATCAGTTTCCAGAAATAGTTGATACTTGGATCATTTTAAACCATGTTGACTAATTCCCAAATACACAAAATTTCTTTAAAAATTAGTTCATATTTTGCATTGAACAAAGGAGAATATAACATAGTTTCCGTATCAAATTACCCCATATTTCCTTTGTCACTAATGGCACACTGGTTCAGTTAAATTTCTGCAAATTAAAATTCCTGTGGGTAGTTCAAGTGATAATCTATGAATTATCTGTGACATCTTTGACTACAGCTGTTTCTATCAATTTAAAAATGTAGATCCTCTAAGTAAACAAACCTATTAACTCTTAACAAGGAGTCTCGCTGCCACAGCTCCATATATAAAATGTTGGGTTTTATGTCTTAGTTGTTTTCCCTTTTATTCAGGTGCTAAATTCAAAACTACTAGTTTAAAATTGCTTACAAAAAAATGACAGGTAGGTAGACACGTTTGTGCTGTTACTAAAAGGAGATTGATTTATTTTTAAATAAAACCTCTCTCAAAGTACCATGGCATTCAACATTAAATTAGGTTTTCTTGCTATGTTTGCTTTTAACAACAAATAATCATCTTTCTCTTGTTGGTTTGAATCACACACCATTATCTTTTCAGAACAGGCATGTTTTTTATCTCTAAAAAATTAAAATAATTTCATCATGTTTAGGGATGTTTTTCTTCAGCAGAGGCAAGCCCAGCCTGAGAAGGGAATATGGCCACCTTGATAAGGATCTGCTACCCTGCTAATGCTATAATTAAGGATCAAGATATATTCACCTTGTCAGTGTTAAAATTTTCACTGGCTACACTAGATGCTGAAATGAAAACATGGATGTAAACAGAGATTTTCTTAATAGTGAAGAGTATTTTACCTACTGTGTAAATTCTGCTACTTTAGTAATAGATCTTACTTTACCAGAAAAGCTCATTTCTATTTACAAGCCTCAAGCTGGCTTGTATTTAAAGATAAAGTTCCTCTGAAGAGAATTTGAGTTAGGTGAGGTGAAACATTTTTAAGACCTTGTCTAAAGCTAGAATCTAGGGTTGCCGTATGTGAGCAAGCTGAATTTTGAACAGCCCCTTGACAGGAAGGGACAGCTGAAGACCAAGTGTTTCAATAAATGTCCATGACCAACCACAGTGAGGACGCTTTGCCAAGAGAGTGAAGTACTCTGTGAGAAAAAGCACTGAACTTACTCGGGCGACATCAGCCCTGTGAACCTTCCCTGAAGTGGCACCAGCAGGGATGTTTCTCCTGAGAGGGGGATATCTTTGAGCAGCAAAGCATTCAGTGTAACGAGCTGGGCTGCTTGGGCAGACACAGCAGAGTCACTTATTGGCAGTGAAGGATGGAAGAGGGAGGGCCACGTGCTCCTGAGCTTCTCTGTGTTATGCTTTCAGAAACTGAAGAGAAGGATGTTTCTCAGAGCAGCCAGAAACGCAGTTCTTTGGTTAAGTGGAAAGCATTCACCGAGTCCAATTGTTTAATGCCTTAGCTGGCAGTACTTCAGAGTTGTTTGCATACCCATCTGTCCTGTAACTTTTTCCTTCATTTATGAGATCCAGAATGAGATATTGTTGTGCTGCAGATTGGTGAGAGTGGTCTGTATGTGTGTATCTGGCCACGTCTTGCATTAGGCCATGTGTGATTACCAGTTAGATACAGATGGAAAAGATGTTTCTTCAGCCTTGTCTTGAACAAGGGCTCTATTCTAGTGGTGGGCATCTGATCCCAAATTGGTGGTGCCTCACCTCCCACTGCTTCAGTTTTACACAATTAGATCTAGACTGTTGCAAAGACAAGTTCAGTCTTTAGCCCAGGCAGCTTCTTGTCTACTGGTCACTTTCTTGGTCATATATACAGATCAATACGATTGATGAATAAGGTAAATACAGACCAAGTTTACAGTGGTGTGGAGGATGAGGTTGAATTTTATTTGTATCCTTGTAACTCTGGGGAACAGTTGCAGAGATTAATAGCAAAGATATTTATTACCACATATTTAATTGTGGGGACTTGTGTGATGTACTCTACTTAAGGACTACAAAGCAATGTGCAAAAGCCCAAATGTTCCATTTCTTCTGAAAATACACTGCTCATTGCTTGTGAGAGTTATAATAGATGGATCCCACTTAGAAGTATTTTTCCTCCCCCCAAGTTCAAAGGCTTCCCATATCTTTTAATAATACTGCTGACATGAACAAGGCAGTAGCAGTTTAATTTTCCAATTCAATGACAGTTCATGCTTTGTCTCATTTAAGAACTCAAGACTTACATGAACATGATGCATCATTGTGTTTATCTCCCTGCTGCTCCTGCAGACACTACTTCAGCATTTGTCATCAGCTGAATGAACATGAAAACTGGTCTTTTTTCACCCTTTTTCTTCAACCTTGCTGGAAGGCTATTCCAGAACTTCATGCTATGGGTTAAAAATCCTCCCCTGTCTGCCCAAACTTAATTAATGCTACTCTATACCCATTTTCCCTGTTCCATCCTCTTGTTAGCTTAAAGGATAGTTCTCCAACTCTTGGTATATACCCTCCTGTGGTTTATAGACAACAATCAGATTACCTCTCAGCTTTCCTTTTATTAGGTAAACCAGCAAATCTTCTCTTTATAAAACAGCCACTCCATTCCTCTGCAGATTCTGCAACTGTATTTCAGTTTGAGGTAACTTTCACAATGTTTTCATGTTGGATTCTTTCTTCCAGGGTCTGCCTCACCCAGTTGACACTTCTTTTGCTTAAGATCCTTGACCAGCTCTTGAGTTTTCCAGGATTAGTCTGCTAATCACTATTTATGACCCATGAGTAAGGCACTCCATCTCTTTTAGTTCCCTGTTAGCCACATAGTCAGTTCAAGATTGGATTCACTACTGGGATTCCTGCAGTAGCAAATTATGTATCAGTCTGACATTAATCAAGCAAAAAAACACAGGTCAGCTGCCCGGCATTTTAAGTCCAAAGATCTGAAAGCTTTCTTTATATACATTTGTTTTCCTGTGCATCATATCTTTACACTGGAAAAGAGAATTCAGAGGAATTCTATGCATGGGAAGCAATTCCTTAGAGAAGAAACTGAAAGAGTTGATTTGGAAAGCAAACACGTTGGTCTAGACTGAGGTTACAAGTGAGATTTCTCACAGATCAGTCTCAGGACCAAGTGATAGTATTATGTAGTGGTCTTTGCATAAAACCAAGGAGTGTACACATGAAATTTCTTAACGACATACAACTGGGAGCCAGCAACACAGGAAAGTGTCAGTGTAGGGAAAATAAGTGGCCAACAGAAATGAAATGACAAGTCATTGTTCTCAGTGTGAGTTTGTTATTAGGAACTTATGGTAGGAATTTTTGCTACAAATTGAGGAAAAATTTATTACGTGTTTGTAGGCTGATTATAACTGCCCATATGAACTGCTGGGAAGAACACAAACATCATCCTAAAGTGTATCTAGAGACGAATTTCTCAGAGTCAGAGAAATAGTACTTTTAAAATAAGATTTCACTTGGGATATCTGAGCCAAAACCATTTCAGATTTGCTTAAAAGGCAGGAAGCCTGATGACTATTGTAAATGTACAACAGAATTGATGGCAATCTTGAGAATGTGGCTAACAAGATAATAGACTGACTAGCAAGATGTCTGTTGTCCATCAAATGGTGGAATACAGAGATGTAAACAAGGCATTTGTAGTATTGTATAACGTGACCGTACAAACAGGAATATGTCTAAACACAGCAATTAAAGATATAGAGAGCATGCACTAAACAGATGGTGCTGATAATGATTTTAGCTTAACATATGGTTAATGTTAACTGCTAAGAATGAATGGTAGACACATGGTGGAAGATAATAAATAATAGATGAATTTATTAAAAAAAAAATAATTGCCAGGAGAGTTTTGGTTTTGTGTGTCAGTTCTCTCAATTCTGAGTTTTCCTCCTACCTCAGCCAGTATTTCTATTTCGAATGTATTAAGGTTTTAAAGTTTTGCTTACAAAACTTAAGCTTAGATATGGTGATTCTCACACTTTCATTCTCACTAGTCACCTCCTTTTTGTGCCATGCTCAAAATATTTGAAAGTACATTTCTTTTTTCACCATGTTACTGTAAGTTGACCCATCTTGATCACAAAGCAACTTCACTTCTCTTCTACTTATATGGGGAAAAAACCCTCACAAACAGCGAACTAACCTCTTAAAAATTAACTCGTCTTGACCTTAGGTAATATTCCAAGTTTTATACTTCCTGTCTTACAAGGTCTAGGTTTCTGTGTTTACTAATCCTTTTCTTCCATTACAAGTTGCCTATAGATCATTTAATTTAGATATTCAACCAGCTACATCTAAGATGATTTTTATACCTCTGATTTAAAGAAATGTCAAATCCCTCTGCTTCCTGATCCCTGAATTCTTCACTCTGAATTCTCCAACTTAATTTTTCTTAATCCCTTATTTTTGCCAAGTTTGTTCTCTTAAAAATTGAAATCCACTGTTATAGACCTACTTTTCCTTACCCTTTCATTTAGTCAATTAAATTGAATGAACTGATACTCTCAGTTTAAGGGTACTTTTTTTTTTTTTTGGTAACTCTCTCCATTCTCACTGAAACCAAAGCTAAGAGAGTGAACTGTGCCAAGAGAAGAACAGCTTATTTGATTAAGCTATTGGATGCTTCAGATGGGAAGTCTGGTTTCTAGTATTATCATATTTCCTCTTTGGTCTATAGCTGGAAAGCTATACTTCCACCAGGTACTTCATAACAGTGATACGGTTGAGGCAATATAACTCTCTTAAAGATATGTCCTGATCTAGATGTGAGCTTGGGAGCCTTTGTAGGCTTCCCAGAAGAATGCATCTCAAAAAGTAACCCTTTTTAAAGCCATGCTACTTTTTTGTTCCTTTACAATCTACCACAACATCAATTATTACCTATTTTTATTGATATGATTCCTGCACAAGTCAAAGCAGGTACTGCTGTTGTTATTGCATCTTTATTCTTCCCTCATGTCATGTTTTGTTTCATGTCCTGTACAAACAGTGACAGACAGTTTGCTGTCTACACCTCTGCACTCAGCTGGCCACAAGCAACATCCTCTCTAGATTAAGTACATCATCTGAGTCCATTGTCTGACTACTGTCCTCATCCATATAAGTAATTTAATCGTGCTCTTGATCCTCCTATCCTTCATCATTCATGTATGTATTGATGGTGTATCACCTACCTGACTTTCATCTCCTTGTGTTTCAAAATCAGGTACAGAGATTACACAAGCTACCTCTAGCCTTTGCTCTGATTTGAAAAACCTCCTTTGTAAAGATTTTCAGCATTTTATAGACTAGCCTTGATATCTCTGTCTCAAACTGGTGGTTGATAGTTTTGCAATAATACTAGAAAAAGAGATGACCAAGCAGGGCTTGAATTTGCCTAGGAGCCAAGGTTAGACCATTGAGTCTCCTCCATCAGTGACTGAATAAATGGTACAGTACACTGAATGTATGCTATTTTCTACTTTCTGAACTTTGCTAAAAAGCTTATCATAAGAAAGTAAATAGTGAGAGCACATAAGAACTATTGTGTCCTGAAGGTAGTTTTATTTGACTGTTTCTAGGCTAGAAATAGTCTATTTCTATACTGCAGGACACAACACTATAAATTTGTGAAATGCATAGCGATGATCACTATAGTATATTGATATAAGCACGAATAGTATAATCAGTCCTGAAATTTTCACCAAGACATTAATCCAACACCTATTTTCAGTATAGACTTCTGGTCTATACTGCCTTCTGACAGACAATGCACAACCTCAGCTGATTTCAGGAAGTTTTTTGTTATCATAAGAAAAATATTTGTCATTTAGAAAATCCTCTTACATAAGTGCCGATGGATAAAATTAAGATGCATCATTCTGTTAAATCTTAGTTCAGTAATTAATATCTTTGTTGTAGTTTCAGCACTGCTATATGTAAAATGGATGTGGAGAGAAAGAATTAATTTTTTGGACCAATCAAGACAGTTGAAGGAGGCCATCCAGCTTCCAGGCCTGTAAGACCTTTGAGAGGAGCTTGCAGGAGATATTATGTGCCCAAAGCTTGCATGATATTCTCTCCTGTCTATATCAAGGGACAGCTTCTGAATTTCTCTACTGGCCAAACAGTCCTCAGTGAGGTTGGAAAGGGTTGATGAGTTGCCAACTCCCAACTCCCTGTTGTTTCCCTTAGGGTTTTATACATTTTGGGGTCATCACTTTTTCTCTCAAATCCTCTGGCTGCCAGCCATCATTGTATCAACTTCTGTCTGTGGAAGGTTTTGCATATTGTCTTTAACCAGCTTAACATGGTGGTCTTTGAAGATGGCATCCTATGATACCACGCAGAGTGTGGAAGAGGTGGGAAGGATGCAGAGCTCTAACTGCCTCCCCGCCTCCCCTCCCCAGCTACTGTACCATTCTAAAACACGTAGGATGTTGAACACTGGGTCTCCAGCTAAAGCTCTTCCTCTCAACATCCTATTGCACCACACTACTTGCTAGTGTAAACATTGCCTTTTAACCCTGTGGTATTCCTTTCACTGAGTGTGGAGGAAGAACAGCAAAAAAGGGTGTGTGAAAGTTTCTGGAAGAGAACATCACCAGAATCCTAGCAAAGGGCAAGTCTTAGTTAGTCAGGTGCTACTGAATAGTAAAAAATCTACTAAGTGTAAACCACAAAGGGAACACTAGAAAGAGGCATCCTCTTCCTTTTTCAGTTTGAGTGTGCAAGATGGCCACAAAAATAACTTCTACAATGGGTCACTGCTTCCCATTACCCTGAAGCCAGGTCCTTGCAGACTGTGACTGAGAGTGCTTAACACAGGCATGAAATGCTAAACAAAACAAATTTTCTGTGTGACTTCTTTGTATGCAGAATGAAATGTATGTTGTTTGGAGACCAGAATCATTCTGTTTAGATTTAACATATGAAGCTGGATATATTGCAGCTTCTTGCACGTGCTGTGCCACACTTGTGAATATTTCACTGCTGTTTATAAAATGAACAAAATATCAGCTTGGTCTCTAAGGCAACTGTATGCTACTAAAACACAGAAATAATTACTGTTTGAATTTGCACTAGAGATTACTATGATCCTGGAATAATAGCCTAATGGTGACTGAAAAAGAACTGGAATATTTTTTTCCTGACTCAGCCCTCTCTAGCAGATTGCTCAATACTATTGACTAGTCAAAATGCAAAATTTAAATGGCTTTAACTTCCACATCATGGTTGCAAAATGTTATCCCTGCTGATTCTAGGAATGCCAGTGAGAAAGAGGAGATCTCAGAGACAACAGAAGATGCATTTTGTGGTATAAAAAACCCCAGAGAGACAGATTGCAGCAAAATGAGGAACCATTTTGAGTTCTTAAATTAAAGACAAGGAACACAATATCCTACATTTGATATGTTGTTATCCTAAGTATAGATGCCTGTCATCCATTTCCTCTTATGCTGAAAGTATTGTGAAACCAAAGAACTTAACCACAAAGTCACATTTGTGCAGAGCCTAGACTTGTAATGCTTCTAGTATGAAACATGAATATGGATGAAGCTGACATTCAGGTCTTCGGAGGAGATTTTACACATATTGGTAGTTAAGCCCTCTCCTTAACTTCAGTAATTGAACTGATTTTTTTTTTTTTTCTTATTAGGCTGTTCAGGAAGGAATGCACATATTCACATTTACTTACTGAGAAAAGTGAGCTGAAATGTTGGCCACCTTTTCACTCCTGTTTCAGCTCGTAATCCGCTTTTAAAGGCAGGCTTGCAGACTGAAGTGGAGAAGGCCGTAACTTCATTGTGGATCACGCTTGCTACAGCCAGCCAGGACCCTCCTGCTTCTTGGTATTTAAACAAGGTGTTTATTCAGTAGCTGGAGCTAGGGGTCAATGAGTTGTGTCAACTGGAACCTCAGACTTTGCCTTTCCAGTGGTGTAGAAGCCCAATGTATGCCAGTACAGGACAAAGTGCATTATGGTGGTGAATGCCAAAGATATAAATCATGTTCTCCAGGAAAAAAAAAACCAAACCCTAACCACTTTTATTTTCTTGCAGAGGTTGATGAAGAGTGGCAAGGACTTGATGAAAACGTTGCCCATATCCCCTTCTTTGCGGAGCGCTACTCTGAGGCCGAAATGATTAAAAGGTCACAGATGTTTTACGAGCTTCTTAATAAGAGACGGTCTGTCAGGTTTCTCAGTGATGAGATGGTCCCCAGGGAGGTTATCGATAATGTCATCAGAACAGCAGGTATGGTACTGAGTGGTTCAAGGTCTGATTAAAAAAAAAATGATTTGCACTACTGTTCAACTGTGTAAAAGTGATGTGGAAAAAAGAAAATTGGCATTTGGCTTATGGTTTTCCTACATTCACCTTTAGCCATAATGAATGAGCTGATGGGAACTGATTGACTGGAAATTACTCAGCTTGCACAACTGTATGTCAGGGACCAGTTTGGAGCATTCCCAATTCCTTTGTATTTGTAGTGCACCCAAAAGGGTAAAAGAGCATTTCAACAGCATGAAAGAAAACATTTAATTTTCAAGCTTTAAAAAATGTTATTTAAAATAAAATTGATGTACAGTTTAGTGAGACATCTTTCAACTAGAAATATTGAAGTATTTTCTTTCAAAAATGTCAAACCATGTGTACTTCACATGCTTTAAAATTTCATGCATTATGATGATATTTATCATGTGTGGGTTTTGTTTGTTTGTTTGTTTGTTTTTCCCAAGCAAATTGATGAAATTTTCTCAGGCATGTGAAACATTTCAGGTGACATGAATGGTTGGGATTTATTATGGAGGAAAAAGTTTCAATCTAGAACAAAAAATCTTTTCCAGTCCTTTCAACATCAGCGTCAGGCCCCTATTGCATATGACTGTAGTGGTACATTGCGGACCCTGATTGAGATTATTTGACTGAATGTCAGAATTTTTTTTTATTTTTTTTTTTTACCAATTTATGTGTTTCAAATCATCACTGTCATGACCTGGCCTAATCTCATCTCTGTTTTAGTAACACTAACTTCAGCCAGGAGTGCTTTTGACCCTCATTATTTCTCTTATTCTATGAACCAGCTGCTGCAAGTATAGAAAATATTCATAAACTGTCTTAGAGAAAAGTTCAGTAGCCTCTAGGAGGATTAATAATATAGAGATTCTTAGCGTTTGAGGTGCATTGTTTTCCCTTTAAAAACTGTAAGCAGCTTTTTTACTGCACTGTAATGAGTCTCCATCTTCCTCTAATTAGCTGGGAGTCATTAAAACACTGAATGTATTTTGGCAAATGCAGTAAAGTGAACAAGTCTAGAGTGCAGATGAAGTACTTCGTAACCCTGAATGCTTTGGGCTGTGTAGAGAAAAAGAAAACAAAGCAAACCATAAATGTCACCAGTTGTTACCCCAACCTGAGAAGAGACAATGTTCACAATATAAACACGTTTTAACATAAAAGATAGTTCAAGCTGCTTATTCAGTGTTTCTCAAACTGAAATCAGTGCTTAGGTAAGCAAATATTGTATGTGTTCAAGACCTTCAAATATTTTAAAAAAGAGTATGAGGGGCTAGAGAGATCTAAAGAGTCTCCTTAACTTATTTATCTGTGAACCTGCACAAATAACTATATTCAGCTTCTGGCTTTCATCCTTTAGGCAGTTAAAATATTCTCCAGTGGTGTTGATGTGTAATGATCAGGGCTGAATGAGCAAGTGCAGATTTAATATGTGCACATCTACATACACCAGCTGTCTTTGGGCTGACAAACTCAAATCTGTATGCTATATGGCAGATGTCTGCATTGTGCAGCTCCTCATCTTTGTCAGTCGGCGACAGACTCCTGCGGGTGGTCACTTAGCCTTGTTTTCCTGAAAGCCATTAGCTTTGTCCTTCAGCTAAAACTGTGTCTCAGAGTTGGGTGCATATTCAGATGGCATGCTGCTTTCTGTATAGTGCTTTGCAATAACATTACTGCGTGCATATGTTGCACCATAATACTGCCTCACCATAAGAATCACAAAGGAATTTTTACAAATCCCTAACTTTGCTTTCCTGTAAAATAGCTGTATGAAAGGACTAACTTCTGTCATTGAATGGGACCTCACATTCTTCAAGAAATAAACGGGATTGTCCTCCACAACTTCTCTCAGTCCTTTTCTTCCCATCTCATCCACTTGCTTTCCCATTGCTCTGTTGGCCAGCCTGAAAGCCCTCAAGGAAGAGCTGATACCCCTTGCTTCACACCTTCCTTCCCGGGTTTTCACCTTTCCCTGGTTTTGTATGAAGGTACTTCTCCCAGCGGAGCGCACACTGAGCCCTGGACCTTTGTGGTAGTGCAAGATCAATATTTAAAACATAAGATTCGTGAGATTGTAGAAGAAGAAGAAGAAATCAACTACAAAAAAAGGATGGGAGACAGATGGGTTAATGACCTGAAAAGACTGAGGTATGAAAAAGTCAATTAAGGTGTTTGAAGATGTTTTAGTATAGAAAAACTATATTGGGGAATTTTAGTAATGTGTTTGGGGATTTTTTTTTCCCCCGTTTTTCTCCACTTATTTTCAAGATGAAAAAAACCCCAAACAACCCAACCCTGAAAATAATTCAGCTCAATTTTTAGAACCCTGTCCATTCTCCTTAAAGTCTCCCCAGTTTTCTGGTGTTGCTCAGGAGGGCAGCTGTAAATATTTCCCCTGTCCTGATCACAGAAAAAGAAAGCAGGGGTCAGAGACTGCCCCAGCCAGAGAGTTGCCAAGGTTGCTATAATGTTGTCCTTTTGCTAGTTTACAGTTGGGAAGAAAAGACTCCTGTCTGACTAAAGCAGAGTTCCAACCCTGCAGGAGCTGGGGAAAAAAAGTACTATCAATGTGTTAATTCTGGCTGCCTTGTTCTAAGAGCCAGGTGAGATGCAGCACCCAACTGATACACACAAAAGAAAAACTCACTATGCCTGTGTGCTTCAATCTTACCAGAAGACAGATGAAATAAACGACTCAGATATTCAGCTCTTTCTTTTTGCACAGCTTTGTCTTGATTCTCAGGATGATGGGAATCTTACTGAAAGCACCACAGTTAAGAAAATTGAAGTGCTAAAAGAAGCTTGTCTTGAATCCTTATAGTATCCTTTTCCATTTCTTCCTCCCTTTCACTTTTATATATTTCTAAGATTCATGTTTGGAAAGAAAAACTTTAAAATATATGTAGAATTGTGCCTTGGTGGCTTGTTCATAAAATTGCCTCCAGTAAAATGTATTATATACCAGGTATTATATTCCACCTGGAAACTTCTCCAAGCATTTAGCCCAGTTGTTTTTTTGTTTGGTGTTTTGTTTTTGAGTTGTGTTTTTGGTTTTTTGTTTTGTTTTGTTTTGTTTTGTTTTTTTCCTGTGTAACCTCTGTTGCAATAACTCTTGTCCCAGTTTATTCCTTTGCCAGATAGTGAAGCTCCCAAAGTCATTGGGAGCTTTGTTGCTGACTGAGGGAAGCCCCAAGGCTTGTCCCTATGCAAGTGCTGAATTATGCAATATTGAATTGTTCCAAATACCACCCCCACCCCCCCTCCCCAAAGTCTGACTGACTTGCTTAACTTCACACACTGCTGAGTCTTGACTTTTCACATGAAGCATATGTGCAAAGCTTTATAGGGTTGATTTGCCTACAGATTACTGTTTGATAATATTATTTTTCAGGTGCTTGTGTGCTATGTAAACAACTAAAAGATAGTATTCTTTTATATTTTGAGTGAGAACAGTAGAAAGCACACATTTTCTTATCTAAATCTCACATCATAACTATATATATTGTCATTTAAAAAATTTAGAATCAAATGAATTCTAACAGGGCTGAAATAGAACACAGGGCAAAAGAATTACTACTTTTTTTTTTCTGTAGAATGTATTTAAGTTTATACCTTAGACCCAGAAGTTTTGAACTTTCCTGCCAGCAATCACAAAAAACGTTGGCACTGCTGTTAACAGGTGGAGCTGCAAGTCTGCAAAATTCCAGGAATCAAATAATCTCAAAGGCAAATGCTCATGAGGCCAGTTCATAGATAAGAGGTCAAGAACTACACCCTATTTTTACGGAATTCCACGGTTCAGAGTGAGCGCATCAGCTCCTCAGCTGAATCTGTTAAAATTGAGAACTCTATTCAAGATTTTTTTTTTCAGAAATGTTTCTATTTAAGCTGATAATAATACTTTGCAGTAAATGTTTTAAGCTTTAGTCTACTGCTGTAATTATTGTGTACCTTTAGTGTTCCTTTGCAGACAGTAAATGTGACTTATAGGAAAACGATGAGGCTGCAAAATAAATGTCTTAAACGTTATTCTTTTGCAGAACAAACTGGATCAAAGAGTATTTGGACACTGCTCCATATCTGATCCTCATTTTCAAGCAGGTATATGGGCGGCTTCCAAATGGTAAAAAGAAGACCCACTACTACAATGAAATCAGTGTTTCTATTGCCTGTGGTATCCTGCTTGCTGCACTGCAGGTATGTTGACAGAACTGATATACTGGGAGTAAATATATTGGTTTGGATTATCTACCAAGACTATTTTGCCCAAATGAGGGTGGAACTCAGTTTAGATTTTAACATTATCAGTCCTCTGGAGTACTCCTTTTGAGTTTTAAAGCTATTCTGCACAGGCCTACATCTGAGAAGGTGATTGCTCTTCTCAGTACTGGTTAACAAGAAAAATGTGATGCAGCTTGCTCTTCTAGCACAGGCTTCAACCCCTGTGGTTTCTACCTCTTGCTGACAGTGTCTGCAGACTACCCAAGCATGGCTGTGCAGTGCCATGCTGGCAGCTTCTTTGCAGTAATTCCTTAAAAAATGGCTTGACCCCAAATCATTTTTAGTACACAATACTGGGAAAAGAATTGGGGACATATTTTACAGAACAGACTGTACCATTTCAATCAGTCTTACTGAGGGATTTCTGAAAGTGAGCTGATTTCTAAAGCTCAGCATGTTTGACATCAGCCAGTTAGATTTTCTCAGGGGTTTCTCAGTGCTCAGTTCCACTTGTTGAATCTGATGTACTCACACAAGTGTTTAAATAGTGAAGCTACTCCAATAGTTAGCTTGGCCTGTCAGCAGGATAAGAGCAAGGTGCAACCTCTTATATTAGGCTAGTTTCTTACCAGGAACTGCCATTTCTCCTCCATTCTGTTTTGAGTGACACTTCCCACATTGCTGCTCTTCAGGAGGATCTTCAGGATGGGGAATCAGAGAAGTGAGCAGTGCACATTGCTGGGGTGTTGCTGCTCTGCAGCTGCACATTGCCCTGTATTTTCCCTCTATGGAGCTGAGAGCAAAGAGAATGCACAGGGAATGGGGTGCCTTAGAAGTAGTAGGAGTGACAAGGCTCCACTTTCCCCTGAGCCAGCCCACCATCAGGTGGGATTTCTGAGGCTCTTGGGCTCCTTAGTGCTGTGTCTTTCCCAGCTCTTAGAAACTAATTGACAACATTAAAGGACATAGTGCCATGGTCTCATAACATTCAGCACTGCACTATTAGCTCTTTTCCTCTGCAGAAGATCACAGAGATTACTTAATATAAGACCCGTTGCCTGAGCACCTCTCCCTGGCTGACTTTTGCATCTCAAAGCCTCCCAAAATGCTTACGTTACATACAGGGAGAGACCTGTGCAACTCTCAGGAAGCACCTCAGCTATGTGGTCATACCTTGGATAATGTCAGCTACTTACTATTTGTTACATTATTCAGCTTTTTTTGTGAGATATCTTATGAAAGAAGTGAAATAGACTCGTTTTGGGGTTCTGATGTAAGCCAGAACATTGTCCATTGAGAGAGATGTCAACAGCCTTCTGTAGCAACTTCTGAGGCAGAGCCTGTGTCCCCTGTCCACATGAGGTACAGCTCTTGAGCAGGAACAAATGTTCACAAAGCTGTAAGGCATCTTGCTGCCAGCTGCATGGAGGCAAGAACCAAAACATACATCTGTTTCATATGAGCCATATGAACCCCATGGGATAATACTCCAGTGATAGCCCCACAACTGCCTCTTGACTTCACTGTAGCCATGGGTCCCCCGTTACACAGTGCACTGCAGGCAGGCTCCTGCTGTACAGCGTACTGACATGTCAGGCAGAACATGCTGTTGCTGTGGTGGAGAAATGCTGTACTTCTCTGTAAGCAAAGCAGGCATCTTTTCTGGTAGTTGAGGCTGTTAGTACATCAGATATTCTAAAGCCTGCAGCAGAGTCTAACAAAAGTGGCATTTCTGGGCTAGTCAATAGGAGAATGTGTTCAGGTCTGGTGGGAATGATGGGTACAAAGACAGAGCACAGACCTCTATCTCACTCTGTTGCTGTCTGTTTTGCTGCAGAATGCGGGTCTGTACACAGTGACCTCCACACCCCTCAACTGTGGCCCCCAACTCCGGGTGCTGCTCCAGCGCCCAGCAAATGAGAAGCTACTCCTGCTGCTCCCTGTTGGCTATCCCAAGAAAGATGCCACTGTGCCTGCACTGACCCGAAAGCCACTGGAAGACATAATGGTGGTCATGTGAGCCTGGCACCATGAGGAAGGAGCACGGCCCTGCTGCCAGATAGTAAGCAGCAGCCCACTGAAGTTGTCACTGCTGTTTCTGTGTATTGTCCTCCTACATCACTATTGCTCTGGCTGTTTGCACCTGTATTTCTTTTAGTGCTGGTAATCTACTAATAGCACTGAGCAATCAAGCGCTGTGCATTTGACAGGTGCTATTACCAATGAGCCCAGGCAGTTGTTCCAGGGGACACATACAACAGCATTTAAATGACCTTCATTGCTTGATTTTTCTTATGTATTGTAGGGACAAATCTTTCCTTGAATTGGGATGTATATTCTCCTTATACTTTTGTGATTACCATTACACGGTTATTTTCACTTCAGAATTTTAATGGAGGTTGTATTAAAAGATATAAAGGGGTCAAACTCAGCTGTCTTACCTTGATCAGTGTGTGTTATTTAAACACCCTTTCCCCTTGTGATTCTAAACACCCTTTCCACTGTGTCCAGTTCTGCATAGAAGGAAGCTATTTTTTCTCATATACAGTAGCATTTTCCCTACTTGATGGATCTCAAAAACCTTGTCTATACCAGGCTTTCTTAAACTATTGCTGGTACAAGTGTCTTTGGCTGTGGGAGATCTGGCAGGACCAAGGCATCCAAGTAATTTCCTTGTTACTATTTCTTTATATGTGTACCAGGCACCGTTAGATCGTATGGCAGCTATCAGTCCTGCCCCTGTATTTGCTGCTTCCACTGGAAGAAGCCTAGAGTGAACTACTATTCTGGTTATCCAGTTTATACTTACAACCATACCAGTTTAACACCCTGAAACTTAAAGTGCCTTAGAGACATTGGCACGTGAGAGGTGCTTTCATGTCACACCAAATCAGGCATTTTTAGGTTTGTTTTAAGGCCACTTCCCACAAAAGCAATGCTCCCTACTGCAAGCCATGGCTACAGGGAAAGACGTGAGTGGGCACCACTGGGTGTTGCAGCACTGGAGGGGTTGGCGCTGCTGATCCCTGGGCTGGCAGAGCCCCCTCGTGGGGTTGTGGTTCTTGCCGGCTTGGCGGGCAGCACAAGATGAAAACAACGAAACAGAGACGTCCTTCCCTGAAGCTGTCTGTATTCTGTGAAATATTTTCCCACCCTGCTGCATGTAACTTCAGGCAACTTCAGATAAATTGGCTTCAGCCTTCCTTGGGGATTGCTTGAGTTAAGTTGCTGCACCTTGTCTGAAGTCAGTCCTGTTTAACATGACCTGTTGCCACTGAGCAAGTGGAGGGGATAATATTTTGCAGAGGTATAGCTTTTTTCAGGGTCAATGCCTCTGTCACCCAATGAGAAAAACTATTTTCCTCTTTGGCAGTCCATTTTGCTGGTATTGAGCAGGCATGGCTATGTGTTCACCTGTTTTACTGGCCCTGTTTCACATCCAGCAATGGCAGAAAGGGCGTATCATGTAGACTTAGTCTGAAATGAGCTTTTATAACTACATTAAAATTTTTAAAGTCCTGTGTCTACACACTTGCAAGGTCTAAAAGGTAGTCGGGGAGAGAGGGATGAGCTGAACCAAGCCAAGGCTGACCAGCTGCAGGTCCCTAGTTATCAACAATACACACTAAAATGGCTGTAGCAAGTTTTCCTTCTGTGCAGATGCTGCTCTGCCATATCGGGCCCCTTCACAAAGCAGTTGGTATCTGCTGTAAATATATATAAGCCCTATTATGTTTGTTTTAATTCAGAGTTCACATTGATAGAGGACTAAACCTCTGTTGCTTTGCAATCTCTCCTATAGCTACAGAAATAATGGCTTCTGACTGGCCTCTGTCTGCAGAATAGACAGCGTGTTTATTCCACAATGATATTCAGAGAAACTTTACCACATTAGTTCTGTTTCAAACAGCAGGAGCCTGCATATATAAGGCTATTTCTAGTATGGGTTCATAATTTAAAAAAAAAGGATCTAAACCACTTTAAAAATATACAAAAAGTTTGTCACAATAACAAACAATGGTATGTACCAATATACCTCTTTATACCAAAGATTAACGGTGTTATTTTTCCCCCCCATGTGTTGATTCTGAAAACTAGTATACATATAGCAGCTGAATAAAAACAACCCCTCACACCTACTACATGGGAAATATTCTATCCAGGAAAGCACTTCTGGAATCACAAAAAATAAGTAAAAGAAGCATATTCAAACACAAATACTTCAGTGGTATTACAACTGCTGATGATACTGCAGAGTCTTGTATAAATTATGTTACATCTCCTGTTGTGACAAGCCTACTTGGAATTGCAATTGTTCTCTAATAAGCATGCAGTCTTTACTTAAAACACAAATTAAATAAGAATAAATTTTGCCTTTCTATGCAGAACATTATTAAATAAAATTAAGGTTAGCATTTAAATTGTTTTACATTTAACTAGGGATTTTTCCTTTGTTTGGGTGAACAACGCTTTTCCAGAACAGAACATTCTGGGAGGAATATCTCCCACACAACCAGTAGGGATTGAATTTTTATATTCTTCCCCTTGTTATGTTTAAAACCAAGATTAAAGGACTCGACAGGGTTAGCAAAAGATGCTGGAATTTGGCATCTCTTCCCATGATATTGTATGACCATGTCTGTGAAAGGCTCTGGACTCAGTCTATACACCTCTTCTAGAAAATGACTATACCACTCAGATTGGAACTGAGCCCTTTAGAAAACTTGGCTCTGAATGTTACTTTTCTAGAATCACAGAATAGTCAAGGTTGGAAGGGAGTTCCAGTGTTCAATCTCTCCAAACCTCTGCTCAAATTGGCTCGAGTTAGATTAGGTTGCTCAAGGTCTTGTCCAGTTAAATCCTGAACAACTCTAAGGATGGAGAGTCTGTAAGCTCTTCATGTAACCTGTACAGTATTTGTTCACTTCCATGGCAAAAAAAAATGTTTTTCTGCTATCCAATTGTAGTTTCCCATGTTTCAACTTGTGTCTGTTGCCTCTTGGCTTATTGCTGTGCATCTCCAAGAGAAGTCTGGCATCATCTTCTCTATCTTCCAATCAGGTAGCTGCAGGCAGGAATTAGGTCTCCCCTGAGCCTTTTCTTCTCCAGACTGAACAGAGCTCTGTGTGCCCAAGCTCCCTGGCCAGCTTGGTGGATTTTGCTGGACTTGCTCCAGCATGTCACTGTCTTTCTTGTACCAAACAGGCCAAAACTGTACACAGTACTCTAGACATGATCTCACAAGTGCCAAAGAGAGAGGAAGGATGACTTCTCTTGACCTGCTTGCTACAGTTTTAGATAGTAATGAAGCCCAGGATGTGGTTGGCCTTCCTTGCTGCAAGGGCACACTGCTGATTCATGTTCAACTTGTCTGTCATGTACCGTGGGGTCCTTTTCTGAACAACTGCTTGCACATTGCTGGCCCCAGCCTGTACAGTGGCACTGGATTATTCTATTCCAGATGCAGGACTTTGTATTTACTTTTGAAGAAATCCGTTAAGTTCCTATCAACTCATTTCTGCAGCCTGTTCAAGTCCTTCTGATTAGCATCCCCGCTCTCTGGTGTTACAACCACTTCCTGCAATTTGGTGTCATCCCCAAACTTTCTAAGAGTGCACTCTGTGCTGTCATCTTTTGCCCTCACTTCTCTTCAGGTTATGGTAACCCTCCCCAGGCATATCTAGTTCAAAGTCTTCCCTACCAGATGAAACAAGCCTGTTTCCAAACATACTCTTGCCCTCTCTTTCTCAGATGCATCGCATCCCTGTTCAGTCACCCTTGTTCACCAAAGAGAGTCCTGCAGTCAAAAAACCTGATCCCTGTCTGTGATAGCAGCTGCACAGGCAAGGGCTGACCCACTGAAGGCGTCCACTTCTGCTCAGGCCTTTCCCCCTGACCAGTGCCTGGGCTGCCATGCCCTTCACCCTGCTCCCAGAGCCACCTGGTCAGTCTTGCTTGATATGCTCCCTATCACTCCTGGCAGCATTAGTGGTGCCTACATGGATAAGCAGCAAGGGGCAGCAGCTCAAGATCCCATGCAACATCACTGGTCCTGACACTGGCAAGCAGCAAACCTCCTGAGACATCAGGCTGGGTCAGCAGGCAGCCTCCAGGGACCATACTCTCGCCTTTCCCTTTGGTGCAGGCCCTAGGCTTGGGTCCCACTATACCCTGATGGTCAGGGCCCCCAGCACTGTATTTCTGCTGCAGTTGTAGATCTGCTGCTGCAGCAAGCACCCTCCCTCCTGTGTCCAGAAGCCACCAGCTGCCAGCCCTCCCTGCGAGTGGGCAGGGGATGTTAGTCTCCAAGAGTTGGGGAGGATGGAGGGTAGGGAAGCAGCAAGTGCCTGTGCATGGCTTCCTACATCTCTGAGAGAGGTGCTGGTGGCATTGATAGCATTCATAGGCTAAATCCCAGTTCCCTGAGGGGTGCTCAGACAGGGTTGTATCTTTCAAAAAGGAAATAACCAACTACTGGGGTGAGACAGAGAGGAGTGTTGCCCAAGAGCACACTGTGCTGGGCCGCCTTTTGCTGACAGAATGATGGTGGGAGCCTTCATGAGCTAAATGACTTCCCACACAGCTGGGGGGCACTTTTGAGTGAGCTTGTAGTCTTGTGAGAGTGGTCTTGCAGAGGTGAGAAGTGTCACCCAGAAGCACGGGATGCCACAGCTTCTTTTTGCTGTGAGGGCAGATCTAGTGGCAGCACTGATGGAGTTCATGACCTAAATGCCACCTTCTCTTAGGGGTCTTTGGGTGGGCTTGTAGTCCTATGAGAACAGTGATGCTGGGGAAGGAGGGGAGATGCATCAGTCAGAAGAAATAGGCACTTGTACTGGGCTGGCATTTGCTGTCAGGGCAGCAGGAATGTGCAACAGTGTTCATAATCTACCTGAAGGGCACTGGGGGAGGTGTTCAGGTAGGCACATGATCTTATGAGGAGGGACCTGCTAGCAGGTAGGCACATGATCTTATGAGGAGGGACCTGCTAGGGAAGGAAAGGGGAAAGTGTAGCCCAAGAGTAGCAGATGGTTGTGCTGGGCTTTCTCTTTCCTGTTGAGGATGGTGTGGGTAGCAGAAGTATGTGGCAAGGATCGTGTTTGTA